GAACCTCTGTTGCCATGGTGACGGGTTCATCAGGCTCTGGGGTGTCTGAGGAGCCCAGGGCCTGAAACACATCTCAGGTGTGCGGGCGCCTGCCCCGTCCCAGAAGGGTCAGTGCAGAAGGGGACCATCCAGACCGCTGCCCTGGGGACCCTCACCCACCCTCCCTCCGATGGACGGACGGGCCCTTCCCTGCGCCTTGGCTGCTCAGCTCCTTGAGCTTAAATGCTGAGCAGTGTGGTCTGGGGTCAGGACAGGTGAGGAGGAGCCGGGGTGAGTCAGCCCCTCAGTCTCAGGGCACGAGGAACCCCAGCAGGTGAGCCGTGAGCTCCCCGGATTCTGTCCCTGGGACCCCCCCCCCCGCGTAGGGTGTGTCCAGGGCTGTTAGATGTGTCTCCTTTCGGTTGAGAGCCCCGCCCAGCCGGTCAGAGGGGGGCTGAGCCGGGGCCCCGGGTGCAGCTCTGCCCACAGCCACCTTGGGGGACCCAGAGACCTGCCTCAGTGGACGGCAGCTGTGCTGGTGCCTTTTTAAAATCAGAGAGAAAATCCTAGGAGCAGTGCGGGGCCTCGGCCGCTGCCCTGAGGGAACGAGGCCGACACCGCTCTCAGGCTGATTCTCCCCTGCGGTGGATTCGAGTCCTGCCAGGTCCAGAGTTGCTGGTGTCAGGAAGCAGCTTCTCGGTTCCTTCTGAGTGAGGAGGGCACGTGGCTCTGACTCTTAGAAAACTCAAGGGGAGAGGCCTTGACCCACACGTTCAGAAGGTCCCACCCCTGGATTTCTACCGCGTAGGAGAACCGCTTACCCACAGGTGATCCCGAGACTCCTCCCTTTGCTCGGAGGTGGGGTGACAGGTGACTGTGAATGTCGGGTGACACAGCCCTTCCAGGGTGAGCGGCTCTGGAAGGGTGTTGAGCATGTGGGTCCCCAAATATCAGCGACACACTGACGGGTTTGGCTGGTCTCATCCCCCACCCCAGTCAGGGTGCCGCACGCCAGACATCCGCACCCTTTTCTCTAAATAGTCAGTGGTCAGGTCTCCTTTTTAGAATCGTGACCCATCAGCTATCATATTAGATACTAACAAGCAACTTAAAGTAACCCCCCCGTGTGGTCGAGGGAGCGCACCGCCCCCCGCCCCCCGGTTCCCTCCCTCACGGTCACTGTGCTCCCTCAGCCCTGCACCCCATGCTCCTCTGGAGAGATGCCCGACGCTCCCCCGATCCTGCAGGTCACCGGGATGCTCGTCTGTCCCGATTCCTGTGCTCTGCTCAAATTGGGGCTGGACTCGGGGAGTCACTGGGGCTCAGGGAGTCACTGGCTTTGTGGTTGGCAAGGTGGCGAGTGCCTTCGGCAGACGGGCACCTGCGTCTCTCCCCGGGGTCCCTACGAGTGGCCCGAAGGGGGCTTTCAGTTTTAAATCGAGGGGCTTGGTTTGAAGGTCTGGCCTGTGCTCACTCTGCCCCTCACAGTCCTGGGATCTCACGGGGACGGTGGGGTCACCGCTAGTGTGGAGGGTCCCGGAGAGGTGGACAGCTTGTGAGCCGGAAGCATCACGGTCAGCAGTGAGGTGACATCCAGGTCACCTGGGTTTTAAATCTGGGGTGAACCTGCAGGTCTGTCTTTCTCCTTGTGGGTCATGGTGCGTCTGAGCTTCGGGGCCCCGTGCTGGTGGGAGCGCAGGGGCATCTCAGGACGGGGATCTGAGCTTTGTCTGCGGGGACCATGGAGGTCCGCTCGGGGTCTGATCCGAGAGGGGTCCTGGGAGCCCAGCAGGGCTTGATGCCAGAGCCCCGGCTGGTGCTGCCCATGACACCTTCGCGGTGCAGGAGGCCGGGGCTCCCAGGCAGCCAGTGGGCTGCGGGGGGGAGCCTGCCTCTGGGGTCCGCACAGCTCAGTCCTCAGGCGCCCGGGCGCTGGGCCAAACAGCGTGGCCCCAGGTCGTAGCCGCGGGCGGAGGAACGCCCGCTACACCCGACCTCGGATCAGTGTGTAGGTGGTCTTGCTGCTGCAAACAGTGTTTTAAAAACCCTTTCACGCCTTTTGTGTGTGAAGGAAACACAGAAGCTCAATAAAAAATGAAAGGTTTTTCTCATGGGAAACCGTGGTCACAGCAGCCCCGAGAGCAGGGTGACTCAAACAGGGAGTGCCTGGCATCTTTTTCCACCTGGGGAGGCCTCGCCCACACACACAGAGACGCCGGGGAGCGGAGGACTCTCTCCCCTCGTGCTATCGCCTGAGGCGTCCCCCGTGAAGGGGGCAGACAGGGCGCCCACGCTGCTGGTGAGCAGAGGCCGGGGCGGCCGTGGGGCCACCTTCCCCTGGCGCCCCCCGACGCTCCCGAGGGGTCAGTGACAGCAGCCCCGGGCGGGCACCGGGCATTGTGGGGCTTCCTGGCCTCTCCGGGGGCGACGGCAGCATCGGTGGGCGTGTGTGGTTCCCAGGCAGCAGGCCCAGCGACAGGCACTTTCAAACCTTGTTTTGCAAGAATTCCGGGTTCACAGAAAGTGGCAGAGAGGTCTGTGTCCCCTGCAGCCAGAGTCCCCGTCATGACACGGTCAACAGTCAGGCCTGACGTGGGTCCCGCGTGCGTGTGGCGCGGAGGACGGGCCCTGCCCAGCTTCGCTAAGACCCGATCCCCCCAGCAGCCGGGCGAGGCTGTTACTCTCCGCCCCGGTTCGCGGGCAGGAACTTAGCAAGGACTCGGCGGAAGGCGCCCTTCTCTCGAAGCTCCGGCGCGGGTCTGGAGGACGCTTTCTCTGGCTCCGCAGCCTCGGTGTCTGCGGGCTCGGCCTTCATGGCCGGGGACCGTCCCCAAGCATGTCCCCGCGTGTGTGGCTCCTGCTGTGGGTTACAAGGCCACCCACGTGGCACTCACCAGGCCACGTCCCACTGTTCACGCGATCACTAGGTTTCACTCACAAGGGACTTGACAACCGGGAGCCGGGAGCACCGTTAGCCGCAGTGGACTCTGCTCGGGGCAGTGACCACCGTTCCGGACGCAGGCCCCCGTGGGGTGAGGGGGGGAGACGGCGCTGCCTGTGGTCACGTGCAGGATGAGCTGTCAGGACTCGTGGACTCGAGGTGCCCAGTGCTCCTGCTGGTGCCGTGGGAACGTTCACTACGGCCTTGTTCACGCGTGGGGTGGTTTGACTGTCACAGGCCTGGGGCATGATGCCGCTCGGAGGCCTCTCTGGTGGACGGTATTGGTCACGGTCACCGCACTCTGGCCCCCCGGGCGTCTGCAGAGGTGACCTGTCCCTGAGGGGTGAGCACCTGGCGGGGGGCATCTGGAGGTGTGTCTCCAGCGTCCACTGTTCACACTCTTCCACGGGGCTGTGACTCTGTCCGAGGAAGCCGCCCGAGAGGCCACCGGGACCCTGGTGGACGCCCTGGTCTCGGGTCCTCAAGGCCATGAGCTGGGAGCCAGGGAGCCTGGCGACCGAGCGCTAACGAGTTCTCCACGTGGCTGTGATCCAGCCTCTTCTGACGGCAACCGAAAAGCTCAAAACGTCATCTCTGCATTTTAAAAAGCTGGCATCTCAGATGACGGGTTTCATGTTGTCGCGCTGGGTCCCCTTTTATGTGAAAGCACTTAGGAGTGCACCCCGTCGTGCAGACTGGAGATGCGTGTGCGTGTGGGTGTGAGACATCCTCACGGCTTCTCGTGTGTGCGACAGGTGGGCTCACAGGCCTCATTGCCGCTCCGACTTGTCAAAGCTCCAGTGAAGCCAAAGGTGAGCTGGAACACGGCCCTGTCATGTCGAGCAGCAGAGCGCGGGCTGAGGCCTGTGCCCCGGCGGGCAGAGCTCAGCACAGGGGCTGCTGGCGGGAGGGTGGCCGCCCGTCACCGGCTTCGGCAGGGACGCTGTCCGGGTGCTTTTTGCCAGACGGAGGTCTTTTCTCTGAATCAGAGACACACACTCTCTCTGGAGCTGCCCAGTTCCTGCTGAACACTCGCAAGCAGAAACAATCACTGTAATCCTGTTACAATGTTTATCTTGTAGACGTTCTGACTTCACACTGTGCACAGTGTTGCTCGCTCTGAGCGGTTCAAGAGCAACTATTTACACAGATTTGCCCTGCGCTGTCCAAGTGTCGGCCTTTACCCCGTGTGAGGGACTGAGCCTCCCTCCTCCGTCCATCCCGCCCCCACTGTCTCCCACGCTTTTTTTTTTAACTTTCTGAGAGTCAGGAGGAACTCACTTTTTTTCTCTTTTTCTGTTTATAGTAACGGACAGTAGTCTCGTTACCCAGGCCCGCCGCTCAGACCCGATGACACAGCAGACAGGGCGCACTGGTGTTCTGAGCGGAGGTGCTGCCTTGGGTCTTGGTGGCACTGGTGTGGGGGACCCACTGTAAACAGTCACCGCTCGTCAGGACCCTGAAGTGCTCCGCAGCAGGACCTCTGGGGCCGCAGACCTGGTCTGAGTCCTCCCCTCCCAGAGCCTGTCCCTCTGGAGAGCGGGGCTCGCACGCCCGTCCAGGGCCCTGGGCTCCGAGGACACTGGTCACATGCCCCTGTAGTGCCAGGAGTCATGGGGTCACTTCTGAGTCACTTCAAGTGACAAACACGCGCAGACTAGCCCGAGGCTCCACAGTGAGGCGCCTACGGCAGGTTCCTCACGCATCAGCCCGGGGTTGGTGTTCGGGGGCGGGGCTGGGGTGGCTACAGGCACGCGGTGTCCTCGGGGCCCGTGTGTCCCAACTGGCGGGGAGAGGCCTTCGGGGTCTCAGACCAGGACGACCCTCCGTGACCGAAAAGAGTCGATGGGTCTGGAGCCTGTCCTCGGGAACAGGTCACTCAGACGGGCCTGCGTGGACACTTCCACCTCACTCAGGAGCCTTGTTGCAAGGACCTGCTGGCCTTGGCCACGTGCCGCGGTCACATAGGTCACCTGGGTCGGGACGGTGACCTCACTGTCGGGAAGTTTGGTTGTGAGACGGTGGGGGGAGGCCAGCGGCGCCTCGAAGCCGGGCAGCTAACCTCCGCTTTCTCTTCCAGCCCCTCCCTGCCCGCCCTTGACTGGCAGCTGCCGTCGCACTCGGGGCCCTACGAGCTGCGGATCGAGGTGCAGCCCAAGTCCCACCACAGAGCCCACTACGAGACGGAGGGCAGCCGGGGTGCCGTGAAGGCGTCGGCGGGGGGACACCCCAGCGTGCAGGTACCGTGAGCTCCTCGTGCTGCTCGAGTCCGTGGGCAGCGTCGTGTCGATGGCTAGCGGCTCTCTCCCAACCAGCTCAGCTTTGCACTCGATGCCCATCCCGAGGCCTGGCTTTCTCCCTGTGTGTTCAGGGGCTGGGGGGACACTGGGTCAGCCTTCCTGCAGCGTGTTGGTCGCTGCGGTCACTGGACCTAGGACGCGTGTTAAGGTGGGAACTACTCTGCCTGAGACTCTGCTCTGGGGAAGCAGCCGTGTCCGGAGGCCGGGGCCCCAGGACAGTCCCTGCGGCCGGGCCGGTTGGGAGGGCCGAACAGATGACACGGCCAACGGATGTCTGTTCCGGGGGGGGGGGAGGGGGGACGGGCCGAGGCTTGTCGTTGGTAACGGGGTGCTGAGTGCTGTTTGTCTACGTGGACACTGTCCATCCAGCCCTGTGTCCCCCTGAGCAGCCGTCCTCGGCTCAGAAAAGATGGGAGAGAAGGAGCCGCCCGGGCACCCACCTCGGCCGGTGGGCTGGGGTGTCTTCTGTGCCTCGTCTCAGACGTGACCCTGTGCCCTAGAACAGAAAACAGAGTTAATGGAACCTTGAAACAAATAGCTTCATCTTGAGGACCTTGTCTCTGACACGTGCGGACAGAGGGTTCGCAGACCAGGGACAGGGGCCGTCAGGTGCTTCTCCAGAAAGTTCCGCCGAGGAGGTTGGAGGAGGACTCTGCCCCCAACAGCCTTGCCGTGGGTTTGCGTCCAGCCGCTTGGCGCTGTGACCCGCCGAGCTAGCTTCCCGTGGGGGCGCCGCCCACACGGCCGGAGGATGGACAGCACCTCCTATGTGGACGCCCCACTGAGGACAGACTGATGGTGGGCAGGGAGTGTCAAAGTCAGTGGTCAGAGCCCCGTCAAGAGGCAACTGTAAGGGGTGCACCGGGGTGGCCGGGTGCTGCCGATCTGGGGCCAAGGGGGCCTGGGGCCCGGCCCTCCCCCCAGCTGCAGGCTCTCCGGCCCGTGGGCCTCTGCCCCAAGTTTGCTCAGGAAGGCCCAGCCCTGCCAGCTCACGGACGGGGTAAATCGGGGGGGCCCTCCGCCCTCGGCCTCTGCCCTCCGCCATGTGTCCTGGGGCCGCTCTCCCCGCCTGTCTGGGCCCAGACCCTCAGGTGGCCGCCTTCCGCGCCCCCCACCACACACACACACAGCCCTCGCACTCAAGACCTGCCCAGCGTGGACTCCAGCCCACGGATGCCTCTGGTTTGGACATTTCCGGTGGCTGATTTTAAAGACGACATCTTTACTTTCTGAAACCGTGGTTCTCCAAGTGTCCCCAAACCTGCCTCACCGGGGAATTGTGAGAAATGGAGGTGCTCTGGCCCCCGGACCACCAAGGAGCCGGCAGCTCCAGGTGGGCCCCACGGTCCCGGCCCAGGAGGGGGCACAGGGGCAGCGGTGTGGCCGTACAGGAGATCCTGAGCCCGTGTGGGGGTGCTCTGCTGGCACCCCCACCTGACAGCACTTCGGGGGTGCGGTTTTAGGGTCAGAGCTGGCGTCCAGGGAGCGCCTTGGTAACCATGACAGGGAGAGGTGCCGGCTGCCACCCCAAACTTGTCACCCTGCCCCCGGGGACAGGGTCTGCGCTCCAGGAGGGCTGTTGGCAGCACCCGGGTCCCCTTGGTCACGTCACCTAATGAGCTCTAAGTACCTCCCCCCCAGCTGATGTGAGCCTCTGACAGTCACACTGGGGTGAGCTGGCCTCGCCCCAGAGCTCAGGCCGTGCAGCAGGACAACGGCTTCCCAGTCAGTGCCCACCTCAGGCGGGCGCCCACCTGGCCCTCAGGGAGTGATGCCCGCAGGGCAGCGTGTTCATAGTTGATTCCGCTGAGATCGATGAAAAGCTCGGACGGGAAGGAGGACACGGAGACGGGTAGCCGTGGGCCAGCAGTCGGCGTCCTCGGGAAGGCTCCGGGAGGTGGCACTCGGCCCACACAGGGCGCCCGGTGGCATCCGTGGCCGTGTGCCTGGTGCCAGTTAAAACCTGCTCGGGTGGCCTCTCGGCTCGGCGCTGTGGCTGTGGCGTTTAAGTTGCCACCTTCCCGGGGAGAAAGGCCAGTGGACGCCTCCGTCCAGCCGAGCTCCGAGGCGACAAGCACGCACTCCCCCTCCGGCACAGTTTTCGTGCAACGAGGCTGCGTGGTCGCTGAATGGAAGACGGTCACAGCGCCAGGAAAAGGGGGAGAAACGAGGAGGAAGTGGTGGAGGAGCGAAGGCCCCCCACCTGCGGCGAGGACTGCCCAGCGAGGATGCGCATCTCCCCCGTGTCCTGGGCCCTGGGTGCCACCCACAGTGTGGACAGCCCTGAGCACGACACCCCTTGGAGGAAACTACGAAACTTGAAACAGTGTTTAAATATTTTGGAAACATATCCTCAGAAATCATTTCTAATGAAACAACCGCTCCCTCCCCCTCTGTCGGAAGATAAATGGAAAAACGTCCTCAGATGAGAATTTTAAAAAAAAGGGACTTGGGGAGTCATTTTCTTTTTTGGTTGGGGGACCACGAGTCGGATAAACGCAGAATTTGCACATGATGACAAGACAGACGAAAGCAGAAAGCTGTCGCTGCGATGGCTCGGTGCGGGCGCCAGTCCACACGCCCTCTGGCACCAGGACCCTGGCCCACACCCTCGCCTCCTTCCGAAATGGCCACGGCTGCAGTGCCTCAGCCCGGACACAGCCGGGTCGCTGTTCTGTTCAGAACCGCGGTCCCCACGGATCACGCAGAGTCGCTCAGTGAGCCCAGGAGTCTTCGCCGGGTAAACACGCGCTGTCCTCCGGGCACGTCCAGCTGATCAGACGTCTCGTGTCCAAAAGCGCGTCCGGGAGGCTGACGGGCTGCTGAGTCCCTGCCGTCCCCCCTCCCGTCGTCCTCCTGGCCTCTGTCCGGGGCTCGTCCGTCCCTCTTCCCTGCCATCTGCACGTGTCCCCTCCCCAGAGCTCTGCTCACGGGAGCACGGGGGGGGGGGGGGTGAGCATCCGGAGAACCCGTCGGGGGCGTCCTGTGTCCCTGCCCTGGGGGGGCTCGAGGAGCCACCTGGGGATGTTGCTGGTCTCTGACCCAGGGGTCAAAGGATGAGCTCCGTTTACTGAGTCATCAGAACATCGTCCCGATAGCATCTAGCCCATCACACAGGAGGCCGGCGAGTGAATAATTGATGTTCATGGAAACACAAAACAGCAAAGGCCTTGCCGGTCCCTGAACAGTACCGTAGATTCGCTGGTCCGTTCTCAGTGACCAGCGTACCCCTGCCCGGCCAAGGAAGGCACCGAAGTTGGACTGAGGGCCGGGTGAGCCTCTGAGGGACCCGGGACCCCCGATCCAGGGGGTCGTCCCGGCGTGAGGCCCCACAGACCACAACAGGCACTTCCTGTCCTACCGGACCGTCGAGAGCTGAAGCCACAGCGCGGACACAGCAGGAAGCGACTGCTGCCCGTCTGATGGCTGAAACTGGCATTCGGAGTCCAGCTGCTGGAACGGTCGTGTGAGGGGCCCTCCCGGGCTGCCAGACTCGGGCCCCGCGGGGCTTGGATCCTGGGGACGTGACCCCTGCTCCTCACCGACCCGGCATGTCTGTTTCACCCGAGCTTCATTCCGCTTTTTATTTCGTTTGCGCTCGAGACAGGATTGTTCACCTGGAAAACCAGGGTTTTCATAAAAACCAGAAAAACAGATGTTACTAAAGTAAATTATGATTTCACGGCAAACCCTGGGCCCACTTGGGGGCCGGGCATCCGAGACCCGGAGATGCCTGCAGGTCTGCTCGGGGCCCCGCCCCGGAGCCAGAGCCACACTGTGGAGCTGACACGCGGTTCTGACCCAACCAGACCACGGGCCCTGCCGCTGACCTGCACGAGGTGCGGGTGCGTTGTCACGGGTCAGCCTCAGCCAGCAGGCATCTGCCCTCCACACTCCCACCGTGTCCAGGCGGGGTCAGGTCCTCCTGTGGCCACCACGTCCTGAGGGCTGCGACCGGCTCCTGTGGGGATGAGGCGTGTCCCTCCCGCCTGCAGGGCTGAGCAGCAGCGAGGGGACGCGGGGGCCTGAGAGCTTGACCCTCCCCAGAGCCGGCTCTCCACCCCGAGCGGCCGTGGCTGCAGACCACGCGTGCCCGTGGCCTGTGCCCGGGTCGGTGGGCGCAGTGTCCAGCGGCTGGCCGTGGTCTCCCCTCTCGGCCGGGGACCCTGGGCCTTGTCCCTACGGCACGTTGCTGTGTCAGCTCAGAGGCGGGACCCACCACCGCCCGCGACCCGCCCCTGTGTCGGGAGGGGCAGCTGGTGTCCGTCCTGTGGGCATTTGGGCAGCCAGCTCGGGAGCCAGGGGTGGCCAGGTGTGATCTGGGGGCACGGGAGGGTCGAGGGAGCCCCTGTGAGTGTCGGGGCTTAGTGTCTGCCCTGGCCTTTCTGCCGGCCCCACCCTGACTATCTTTTGGGTCATGAATGTAAACACCAGGTATGGCTTCCCGAAGGCTCTCCTCTGTCCCTTGCCAACTCCAGGACGGCCCTCAACTGGCAGCTCATTTACAGCCTCGTTCCCGAAGGGCCCAGGGCTGTCCAGGGAGGAGGAGGTTCGGGAGCGCGGGGCCTGACCTCTGACCACGCGAGCTTGGCTGCTCAGGGTCACCCGCCTCCCGCCCTGGCCCTACGCTGACCCCGCCCTCAGCACGTGCCCAGCGTCCGGTCTGGTTCCGTCGTCGGTGGGCCATCCCACCAGCTGGACACCTGTGGCCTCTCGTTCTTTCATTGTTTCTAGAAGTTTCCTCGTGCCCCAGAGAAAGCTCCGGGAAGTGGGCCTCGAGGAAGCTCGGGGCATCGGAGTGAACCCTCCCTCCCGGAGTTCAGGCGTCGCTAGTCCACAGACGGGCGCCCCAGGCCAGTGGAGGTGCAGCTGGGGACCTGTCTCTGCGTGCCCAGGCCCTGCTCACATCTCCCTGTGTTGACCCGTCATCCTGAACGTCCCACGGACGTCACTTAGTGCCTCGCCGCCCCCTGCCCTCGGGACGGGAGAGCCGCCCGGGGGGTCCGCTGGGCCCGAGAAGAACACACACGTGGAAACTGGTGCGCACCTCGCGACGGACACCGCGGGTGTGGGTGTGCGCTCGGCCCAGAGTGCGTGGCGGCTGAGCCGCAGCTGGTGAGCCCGGAGCCCGGGTCGTGTTCCACGGAAGAGTGGAGCCGTCACTGTGCAGGGCCCCGCCCCCGTGTCCTCACACCCCCGTCTCCGCCTGCCGTGCGGAAGCCACATCGTTTCGGGACCCCAGGGACGGGGACGGCCGGAGACGCTGCTTTCAGGCACTTCTGACCGCCCGTCGTCCCCCCCTGGGGCTGCCCTCCTGTCCCCACGGAGGAGAGACCACCGCGCAGGGACGGCGTGTGGCTTTGCTCCCGTCTGCGTGTCCTCTCGCTCGTGACCCGCGCCCACCGGGCAGCGAGGAGACAGACAACTGAGTGAGCACTTGATGGCGAGGGGCCGGAAACACCACGCCCCCTGCGGAGGGGAGCGTCGGGTCAGCGACTGTCTGAGACCAGGGAGGCGCTTGTCCACGGGGCCAGCGGCTGACGGTCCGGCCAGCGGACAGTGGCCCCGTGTCCGAGTGCGGCACCATCTCTGGGTGCGCGTTTCAGCTTTTCGAGTATTTGTGCAGATGGGCCCACTGAACGTGGTCCTCGTTCACGTTCCTCCTTTGCAGAAAGATGACTGCAGGCCACACGCGGAAACCAGGGAGCTCTGGGGTGCTCTCTCCCCCGGAGGGACGCCTCGCGGCCTCTGGAGCCGGTTCGATGCCGGAACGTGTCTGTGACTCACATGCAGTTTAAACACTGGCTGGGAGGCGTTGTGTCCCGGCGGTTTACACCCTGGAGTTTTACAGCGTAAATCTGGTTCTGTCTGAGAGCACACGCCTGGGCCGAGTCGTTAGCAAGACTCATTCCCAGGAAGGCTCAGCATTAAAGGGACAGTGTATGGTGTACACTCAGCATTGACGTAGGGTCATGGCACACGCTTGTGCACACACATGTACACATGCACATTCACACACGTATGCACACACCAGCCGGCCTCAGGAGGACGTCATACCAAGGGCCTTCCTCCTGGTGACTGTCCCTGCACCTGTCATGAGCCAGGGGCTGCAGCCCCGGAAACTCGCCTTCACAGACACAGGACTCGGGGTCCTGCAGCGAAGGTGCCTGTGCCATCAGCAGGGGCCAGGGAGGCGTGGCCGAGAGGGTGGGGCACGGTGCTTGCTGAGCGGGACCTCTGCCCTCCACAGTCGGGGGGCCTCCTGCTGGTGAGCAGTGACCGAGCTCACATGACACGAGCCTCTGAGTCGTCCAGCAGCAGAAGGTCTGGGTGAGAGGACGTGAAACTGCTCTCTGGGCTGGACGCGTCCTCCCGCGAGGTTCCTCTAGGCATCGAGGGAGAAGCAGACTCTACGCCTGGGCCAAAGGTGTCACTTCCCGTAGAGTAGAGGCTGCACAGGGCTCGGCGCTTAGCTCTGTGTAGACCACGGACGGCTGGGTGAACAGTGACTAATTCCCTCGATGACTGGTTCTTTGTTCACACGATACTGCCTTCTCCTGTGTGCGCATGTGTGTGTGCACGTGTGCACATCCGTGTGTGTCCTATTTGTGTGTGTGTTCATGTATGTGTTCTGTGCCCATGTGTTTGTGTGCATACACATTCATGTGTGTCCAGGTGTGTTTGTGTGTGTGTCATGTGTGCATGTGTCCAGGTGTGTCCTGTGTTCATGTGTGCCGTGTGTCCGGGTGTGTCCAGGTGTGTCCTGTGTTCACGTGTGCGTGTGTCCAGGTGTGTCCGTGTGTGTCCTGTGTGTATGTGCCGTGTGTGTTCACGTGTGTGTGTGTCCAGGTGTGTCCGTGTGTGCCGTGTGTCCAGGTGTGTCTGTGTGTATGTGTCCAGGTGTGTCCTGTGTCCATGTGTGCGTGTGTCCAGGTGTGTCCGTGTGTGCCGTGTGTCCGGGGGGCGTGGTGTGAGTGCTAGTTGACCCTCAGCATGGAATGAACTCGATCTCAATCGCTCCCTCATCCGCCGTCTCCCGTGTGAGTGCTGAGCTGAGCTCAGGAGCGGAAAACTAACACTGTTCTATGTAGAAAACTCAGTAGCTCTTACACCTTGAGCTGGAACAATGCATTTTGTTTAGCAAAGAGAGGTCACTGTTATGACAGGTAACTTTATAAATATTACCTTGGCAGATACTCCAGTCTGCCAGGGGCAGAGCACCATGCACCATGTGAAGTATTCAAATGACTCTCCTCAAAATGAACTTCACGTCTTAAATAATAGATGTTTACCTCCCAGGTTAAACTTTACATATTCCCATTTTCACTGAAATGGCATGTTTTTAAAAGGCTAGTTATACCCACAGTCCGTTGCATTCCACATGCCCCTGATCATCCCCACAGTGGGAGTCCTGGGGGACTTTAAATTGTCATTTTCGAATCATCTGGCCCACGTGTCGGCAGCGGCTGCCTCCTGACTCCGTGGAGCCCACCTGAGCCGCAGAGACAGGGTTTGGGCAAAGACTCATTTATGTTTGTGTATTTACATATTCCTGCACTCGATGTTACAGAGTAGAGCCCAGCACGGCACACTTTGTCTTAGTCAATCTCTGGCTTTAGTTTTACGTTTTCTGATTATGAAATGTCAGTTGGAGCCCAATGAGGAGTCAGGTTTCTTACGAGTTCACTGAGCAGGGTTCTGACTGGGCCGTTGTCTACACCGGCCTCTGTGCACACCGCTGGCCCCGCTGCCTCCCACGGGGGTGTTCAGAGCCTCCGTGGCCACTCAGCAGGGGGTACGCCGACGGGCGGCTGCGGTGCTCACCCGACATCACAGACTGGGCCCTGAGAGCCGGGCAGGGGCTTTGACAGGGAGGCGCTCGGTTCAGTGCATGTCTGGTTCTGTTGGGGAAACGGCTTAGTCTCGATGGAGTCGCCCCATCACATGAGCCCTCACAGCCTCACTGGCCGAGGTGGACACAGTGTGTGCTCACAGGCTGACGCACATGGGAGGGGAGGCGTGTCTGTGGAACAGGCAGCCGCTGGCCAGGAGGAGCTGTGCCAGGAGGGACGGGTGATCCTTCCCACCCGCCTGTCCTGCAGAGGGCACAGCACAGCCAGAGCACTGCCGCTCCGTCCCGCGTGCTGGTCACAGCCGTCGTGTGTGCAGGTGGGCACATGCGTGTGTGCAGGTGGGCGTGTGCGTATGCGTGTGTGCAGGCGGGCGCGTTTGTGTGCAGTGGCCGTGTGTGTGCAGGTGGGCACGGGTGTGTGCAGGTGGGCGTGTGCGTGTGTGCAGGTGGGCGTGCGTGTGTGCAGGTGGGCGTGTGCATATGCGTGTGTGCAGGTGGGCGTGTGCGTGTGTGCAGGTGGGCGTGCGTGTGTGCAGGTGGACGTGTGCATATGCATGTGTGCAGGTGGGCGTGTGTGTGTGTGCAGGTGGGCGCGGGTGTGTGCAGGCGGGCGCGTTTGTGTGCAGGTGGCTGTGGGCGTGTGTGCAGGTGGCTGTGGGCGTGTGCAGGTGGGCGTGTGCGTATGCGTGTGTGCAGGTGGGCGTGTGTGTGTGTGCAGGTGGGCGCAGGTGTGTGCAGGTGTGTGCACGTGTGCCGGTGGGCACATATGTGTGCGCATGGGCACATCTGTGTGCGCGTGTGCAGGTGGGCACACGTATGTGCGTGTGCTTGAACGTAGGCTGCACATCACCAAGTGCCCCAGGACGTGGGGTGATGAGGCCTTTCCAGCCCCCTGGTGTCATGGTCACAGGGAAACAAGGGGCCGGAGCGGGAGGGACTAACCCCGAGCACCTGCCGCCGTCTCCCTTCTGAATTCTCCTCGGCTCATGGAAGTTGAACTGTCCCTGAGCGGCCGGCGCAGGTGCTGAGCGGGGTCTCTCTCCCCAGCTCCACGGCTACCTGGAGAGCGAGCCCCTCACGCTGCAGCTGTTCATCGGGACGGCGGACGACCGTCTGCTGCGGCCACACGCCTTCTACCAGGTCCACCGCATCACGGGCAAGACCGTGTCCACCACCAGCCACGAGGCCGTCCTGTCCAGCACCAAAGTCCTGGAGATCCCGCTTCTGCCGGAGAACAGCATGCGAGCGATGTAAGCACGCCTGCCCCGCGGCCGGGCGGCCGCGCCCCACGCCCACCGCTCGGCGCCCACACGTAAATACACTGCAGGGGTTTGTCTTTCTGGGGTCCCAGCCACGGGGCACGCTGCCAGCTACGTGCTCTCAGCTCCACAGCCCGGAGCGTCCTGAGCCTGCGCTCGGCCCCGACAGGCGCATCCGAGGGTCGGTTCACGTGCAGGCGTCGAACGTTAAGAGAACACTGTCTGGGTCGCAGTCTCTCCAAGCCCGGGTGTGTGGTCAGTTCTGACTCGCTGGTCTAGAGGCAGATCCCTTGTAAACGGGCTCATGCTCCCCATCTCCGAATGGGGCCCCTGCTCACGGCTTTGCCGAGTCCTCTCATGGAGCTGTGATGGGCTGTGCATGTCCCTCCTACCCTCTGGCCGCCACAGAGAAAGGGAACACGGCCACCCCAGGATTCTCGTCCTGCTGGAGGTCGGGGCGTTGTGTCAGAGCACCTGGTGGCCCTGGAGGTCAGGACAGTGTCCCTGCGGCGGGGAGCTGGGAAGCAGCAGGTGCAAAGGTCCTGGGGCAGCAGACTTTGGGGTTTCCATGGGGACAGTGTGGGAGGTGGGGTCAGCCAGGCCACACTGTGTAGGACTCGGAGAGGGATCTTGCTACATTTCTTACCTCAAACCTTGCAAGTTGAGAACAGGGAGAAAGCTTCCTCTCCCTGTTGTGTTTTCCTGGATTTGGGGAACTGACACACCTCTGAGCTCATTCTCAGCCCCTGGGTTTGGTTCAAGAGTTGGAATCTGTTTCCCAAGGACAGTCAGGGGTTTGGGGAGCCCAGGGTCCTCCGCACAGCAGCGGTGGCTCCGGAGGTGGAGCCGCCCAGGGGTGGGGGTGCACGGGGCCAGCGCCGGCCCCACCCACAGGGCCAGGACGCTGCCAGCCAAGCGCTGCCTGTGTGTCCGCCTCCTCAGCTTCCCGCGAGGAAAGGTATCGCTTTCCACCCGGCAGCCTGCACAGACTGGTTTGCTGGCGTCTCGTGTTCAGTGACGTTAAACAAAGTCACATAAAAGCCACAGGAAATTCGGGATCCTGAGCTGAGCAGTGGGCTGCTGCCAGACCTTAAATAAATGAACTTTCAGGACCGTGGAGACGCTGAGCCCAGACAGAGCGGATCCTGGCCCTGGGCCCCTGCAGCCCTGACCCGCTCGGGTCCCTCCGGCCATGTGGCAGGGCCGCGCTCCGGGCCTCCCGTCTCTGGGCGGGTGGACCACAGGGCCACGGGGGCCCACGGTGATGTGTTCACGGTGCGGTGTGTCCTGCCATCAGTGTGCCGCCGTCCGGGCGGATGGGCTCGGCGGGCGGCGTGGCGTGGACGGTCCTGCTCGTGGGCCGGCCGGCAGCCAGCGGACTCCTGTTTTGGCAGCATCGACTGCGCCGGGATCCTGAAGCTGCGGAACTCGGACATCGAGCTGCGCAAGGGGGAGACCGACATCGGCAGGAAGAACACCCGCGTGAGGCTGGTGTTCCGGGTGCACATCCCGCAGCCCAGCGGCCGCACGCTGTCCCTGCAGGTGGCCTCCAACCCCATCGAGTGCTGTGAGTGCGGCCTTACCGCCAGCCGCGGGCGCGTCCACTCCCGGGCGGGGACAAAAGCTGGTCCCGAGATACAGACGCCTGCACAGGGACACGGGGAAGTGACCCCTGGAAGCTGAGTGGGACCCCGGCGTTCCCTGGGGTCCCGAGCTCGCGAGGTGTGGGCCCTTCCTGGTGCGGCGACTCTGCTGGTTTTCCTACTGGTCCAGTGCCCTGTGTCCCCACAGCTTTCTCCCCGTCCAGGAGTGGGACCCCGGCTGGGCTACTGGGGTGCCCGCCCGCCATGTCAGAACCTTCCTTGCCCAGCGGCCCCTGCTCCCCTCATCGCTGAGTGACCTCACCCACCCCCAGGGCTGGGCTCTCGGGAAACCCCTGACCTCATGCCCAGTGCCCACCGCCCACCTGCCTCAGCCAGAGCGTCTTGGTTTGGTTGCTTTGCTGCTGACTCTGACGTCAGGCTGACTCAGGGATGGGGCTTCTTCCCTCGTGCCTCAACCCCTTCTCCGTGATGGTGGCCCCCAGCTGCCCCCTCCCCACTCCTGCCATCTTACAGGGTGTCCGACACCCTCGGCGTGGCCGCTTCTGTGAGCGGGGGCACCCCGGGCCTGTGAGAGGCCTGGCCTGTGGCTCGGCCTCAGAAAGTCTGCCCGTCCTTCCCCGCAGAGTGTGCAGCGGCACCTTGTCCCTCTGTGGGTCCCGCCCGGGCAGCCATGAGGACTGGCTCCCGGGGAGCACGGGGGTCAGAGGGCCGGAGGCGCCTGACTCACTGTCCTTCTGCCCACAGCCCAGCGGTCGGCCCAGGAGCTGCCCCTGGTGGAGAAGCAGAGTGTGGCCAGCTGCCCCGTGCTCGGCGGGAAGAGGATGGTCCTGTCCGGCCACAACTTCCTGCAGGACTCCAAAGTCATTTTCGTGGAGAAAGCACCAGGTATTTCCCTTGGACCCCGTGTTTTCTGTGCGGGGTGCTGGTGGGCAGGGGCCCTGGAGGTGGAGGCGGCGGCTGTGGCCGCAGGGTTGCGTCCCGCCGTGAGCGTCTGTGCAACAGGCAGTTTGCTCCTGGAGTCGCCTCCTTGCGCGCTGCTGGTGTCGGGAGGCTGGGGGTGGGGCCACCTCGCAGGGGCTGCGTCCCCGGCCGTGCAGTGGCACTTTGCCCCGACTGGACAGGCCCCTCCAGTGCCAGGAGGAGGTCTCCCTCGGAACCAGACTCAGAGGCAGGTGCCCAGGTACAGAGGGGCTGCGGGACCCGGCTCAGGCCACAACCCTTCCAGCCCCCGTCATCCTCCAGCCCCCCCCCCCCCGTGCTGGTGCCCCCCCAGAGGCCAGCACAGAGCTGCTGTTCTCTATGACCTGGGGCCACCAGGGCCCCAGTCCCTCTGTGTGGGGGTGCGTGTAGACCTCACCTGTGCTGGGGCACGAGGAGGGAGCCTGGTGTAGGATGAAGGTGAGTCTCTTCCCTCTGATAGATGTGGGGGATCCCACCTCTCCTGCCCCCCCCCAGCAGCCTCCGCCCTGTGGGGAGAAGCCTGCAGGTGGCCAGGTTGGGGGCCTGTTTCTCTGTTTCCAAATGTCCCAGTTGGAATTCCCGAGTGCCTGGGCCGGGCTCCTGCTGACCCCTGAGGACTGGGGCGCGAACAGCCCACAGTGGGTCCGACTCTGTGGTCCGCAGGGATGTTGGGTGCGTCGGTCAGAACGGGCCTTGGGGTCCCCCGGTGTTGTGCCGTTACCCATACAATCCTGCGCACAACTGGGAACATGCCTCACGTCACGGAGAAAACCCAGCAGAGGGTGATGAGCAGGAGAGGAGTTTGAACATCCAGAATGCTCCTCTTTGGAGGACGTTGATTTTGAAATTGAACCTTCTGGGCGTTATGTGTGTGTGTGCCTGTGTGTGGGTGTGTGCACACGCGTGTGTGGGCATGCCTGTGTGCACATGTGTGTGCCTGTGTGGGCACGTGTGTGGGTGTGTGCGTGTGTGTATGTGCATCTGTGTGTGGGTACGTGCACACATGTATGTAGGTGTGTGCATGTGTGTGGGTACGTGCACACGTGTGTGGGTGTGCGCATGTGTGTATGCGCATGTGTGGGCACGCGCGTGTGTGCCAGGGCTCTGCTCCTCGCTCTGTGAGACTGGTGGGAACTGTCCCGCCTGGGAGGTGGGGGGGTCTCAGCAGCTCCTTCCTGTTGCCTCCCGGCCTCAAGGGGGGAGGGAGGCACCTCCCGGAGGCTCTGTCTGCTGTGGGCTCGGTCACGGCAGCTTCACCCTGTGGCCTCCCAGGAACCCCGTGGAGGTCACCCCCCCACCATGGGGAGCTCGGTGCGGGAACGCCAGCCGTCCTCACCCGGGGCCTAGGGGCTCCCTGGCTGAGTGCCCGGGGCCCCTCACCCGTCTCCTGCTGGTGTCTGGTGCCGACAGAGACTCAGAACCAGGGGTGGCGACCAAAGTGACATCAGTGTCCCGCGCCTGTGACCGGGGCACGCACACCTGGCAGCCACGCCTCTGACACACGGCGTCGGCCTGGACTAAAGAAGGCGCTTGCGTGTCCACACGTGTGGGCGGACGGGAGTGGACCCCACACGTTTCCTTCCTGACGTCGGCTCCCGGCCCGGGGTGCTCACCCCCAGTGCGTCCCCACTGAGAGCAGCCACCGAGTCGGCTGAGACGGAGACACGGCCCCTGGTGTCCAGGGAGGTCACGTGGCCCCATTTAAACTTGTCTTCAGATGAGTGTGAGCAGGAGCCTGTGGCTGTGCCTGCCCGGCGTGGAGCCGCGACCTCCCAGAAGCCCCTGCGGCGGCTGCCGGCCCGGCTCTCCTGGGGGTCCCCTCGGGGGCCGACCCGCCTGGGGCTCGGCGGCCCAGCTCCCACAGGAATCTCCACCCTCTCCAGCCCGGTTCCCGCCTGGTTCAGGGGTGGCTCCTTCTGCCCCACGGGGCAGACTTGGCCAGTGTTGCTCGCGGAAGAGGGTCCTGTCTCGGTGCGGCAGGAACCCCAGCAGAGGAGCACGATGCTGGTCGGCCGTTGGGAACCAGGCCCCTCAGGGGACACCAGCCCGGCCCCCTGGTCGGCAAGGGGCGTGGGGACCTCGAGAGAAGTCACAAGGGGGGACGACGTGCGTACGGCCGCCGCCTGGGAGACACGTGATTGTCTCAGGCCTGTCACTGAGCTGCACAGAAGGCCCAGGTGTTGAAGCGGCCGTTCCTCCAGGGGAAGCCGACACGCCGGAGGGTCGCGCCCACGTGTGGAGACCTGTGGGTCGGGTGGGGACGCCAGCGTCAGGACCAGAGCTCACACACACACGTCCGGCCAGCAGGGAGATCCCGGCCACCCGCGGGCTCCCTGGGGTCCTGTATGTGGAAACACAGAGGCAGCTGTGGGGAGGGGAGCTCGCCCTTCCTTTGGACGTGGCCTGGACGGAGAGGAAGGCGAAGGCTCGCGAGGCGACTCTCCTGTGACGTCTCTCGGCAGCAGTGGGCGCAGCCTGCCTGGGCTGCTTTTCCGTGAAACAGCCACCGCTGAACGTGGGGTCCGAGCAGCAGTCACTCCGTGTGCGGGCAGCCCCCCCGGGGCGTCCGTGTGGCCACCGCGAGCTGGCGGTCAGGGGGGGCCTGTCGGCGGCCGTGTCTCTGAGAACAGTCTCGGGGCCCCCGAGGCCTTGTCAGTGGGCACGTGGAGGCCAGGCTTCCTTGCACTGGGACCCAGAGGGGACTCTTCACAATGCCCGGGGGCCGCTCGGGCCCAGCTTGTCAGTTCGGGGGGGGGGCTCCCTGAGGTGTAAACATGGATGTTCACTGGGGTCCCCGTTGACCGCACCCCACAAACCAGACCACGTTTCTTTCAAAAACTCTCTAGTAGGTGCTCAAACCCCTGACTGGGGTCCCCAAACCTACATGGCCAGACCCCCACCCAAAACCACACGCAGCCGCACCCTGACCTCACCGTGCTCCACTGCCCCCTGGCGGCCTCCCCCCGCCCCGTGTCCGGGTCCGCACTGGCCTGAGCCGTCCCTGTGCCCTGCCCTCCTGGTGCTCGGCCTCGGCCCGTGTCGGCCCTCAGTGTGCCGTGGCGGCAAACACTCCGCTCGTGAAAGGGAAGGCAGTCGTCACCACGGAAGTAGACGTGAGGACCATGGGACGTGGCCGCTGGAGGAAAGCTGTCCCTGAACTCCAGGACGAGGACCAGCTTTCTCCAGATGTGGCTTCGAGCCGTCCAAGAGCCGGGCTCAGACTCAGCCCTGGACAGAGGAGCAGCCTCGTGAGGCCGTGGGCGGCGCCCAGCCTCCAAGCCCCCGGGGCGGGCCTGCACCGGGGCTCAGCAGGTCGGCCGGGCAGCCATGGGCCATGAGGGACTAAAGGACCTTAAGTCGTGGTGGTCAGCACACCCAGGAGGGACTGAGATGCTTCTGCAGTTTCATTTTCCTTAAAATTGAGCTGCTCACGTCATAGGCAGCAAGTGCGGCCTCACCGTGGGGACCTGAGGTGAAGCGAGCCTGTCGTCGGGGGCTCTGAGCCCGAAGGGCCAGTTGAGGAAGAGTGTGCAGGGCTTGTGTGAGTGTGCGCGTGTGTATGACTGTGTGTGTGAGCGGGGCGTGTCAGGGTGTGAGTGTGAGCAGGTGTGAGCGGGTGTGTCAGTGTGGGTGTGGGTGTCAGGATGTGTGGTCAGACGTGTGTGAGCAGGTGTGTCAGGGTGTGTGAACAGGTCAGGTGTGAGTGTGAGTGGGACATGTCAGGGTGTGTGTGAGCAGGTGTGAGCGGGTGTGTCAGGTGTGTGAGCAGGTGTATCGTGTGTGAGCGGGTGTGTCAGAGTGTGTGAACAGGTGTGAGTGTGAGCAGGACATGTCAGGGTGTGAGTGTGAGCAGGTGTGAGCGGGTGTGTCAGCATGAGTGTGAGTGGGTGTGTCAGGATGTGTGGTCAGACATGTGTGAGCAGGTGTGTCAGGGTGTGTGAACAGGTGTCAGGTGTGAGCGGGTGTGTGAACAGGTGCCAGGTGTGAGTGTGAGCGGGTTGTGCAGACCCCGCCCTCGCTGCCCGGGGCTGCGCCCTCCTCCTGCGCTGTGTGAGCAGTGACACCTGCCGGCCTGGGTGCTCAGCTCCGCCTGGTGCGTTCGCAGCTGGGCCGAGCCCTCGTGGGTCATGTTTCGCTCGCCCTGGTCGTCCAGCTGGTGCTCAGGCGGTGACGGCACCTCCGCCGGTCGGGCCCCAGGGCCGTGCGGAGCCTGGTGAGTCCTGGCTGCAGGGCCCTGCGCCGTGAGTCTCTGAGGGATTCTGGAAGTTTCCCAGATGGGACGCCACAGGCGTGGGGGCCGAGCCTCTCCTTCCAGACTTTCCTGGCGCTGACACCGGAAAGCGATGGGGCCAGCGTCCGCGCGCCCAGCAGCTGTCGTCCCCGTGCTCAGCCGCGTCAGCCTGTCCGCCGGCCGCCACGTGCCGCCCCTGCCCCCGCAGCGGGCTCGCGGGCGAGTGCGGCAGGCGGGTGGGCAGCAGCGGCCCCGGGATCGTGCCGGAAGTCACGCTGGCTCTAGCGAGAGGGGGAGCAGTGAGCCAGCCCCTCCCCTGAGGAGCCCTTGTCCTGCGTTTTGGCCTCAGGAGGAAAGACGACCCCACTGTTCTGAATCTCACCGCCTTTCGAACAGCCTGGGAGGAGAGGGAGCTGCCGGGGGCCCCGCGGGGAGGTCAGAGGGTGCCCTGCAGTGAGCGTGCCCATGGGTCCCAGACCCTTGCCCCCCGCTTGCCCGAGCTGGGGTTCAGGGAGGTCCCAGGAAGTGCCCTCACCCCAGAGCAGGGATGTGGCTCCAGCCCACGTACCCCACTCCCTGCAGGGCTGCCCTGGGGGGCCCCGGCTGACCTCCGAGGTCAGCCTTTGAGAGCAGTGCCACTGCATGTCCAGGAGGTCACTGCGTGACCTCTGTGCCCTCTGGGCCCGTCCTGGCCCCAGGACGTGCCTGTCCCCCCGGGCACAGTGGCTGAGGGGGGCAAGGACTGGCCCGGGTGTGGGCAGAGGCCTCTCCATGGGCACCCACGGGAGCTCCGAGGGCCAGACCAGGCGTCTCACGCCTTCCTCATGTGGGTTCCATGGAAACCCTCCGGGTGAACCACTGGTCTCTCCTCCGATTTGCCCCAAACCGCACACCTCTGCCTCCAGGCCCTGCCCCAGGCAACTTCCCGAAGGTGGAGACCCCGCTGTCTGGGCCACGGCCCCAGGCTCCTGGCGAGAGGGTGTGGGGGCGAGTGTGCTGGGCGCCTGGCCCCGACTCTCTCTCCTCGTGGGCTCGCCGCCCTCAGCATGTCCCAGGGCGGGGGAGGGGCACGTTTCTGTGTCAGCTTAGAGACGGAGCTGACAGACCACGCGACTCACTTGTTCAACCTCAGCTCTCGGTACGTCAGAGCCGCTCCACTTGAGCACGGGTGCCAGGGGGCTCGTCCCTGCGGGAGCCGTGTGGGAACAGGACCCGTGGAGGCAGAGGCACCCACGCACGGCGGGCTGCACGCTCACTGTCCACTGCCCCGGGGGCGTCGGGTGGTGTCCACTCTTTGTCCGTTGAGCTGTGCTGCCCGTGGAAATCCCACAACGGACCGTTGGAGGAGCCAGCGTGCGGGGACCCACGGCACATGGATCATTTCCTCCCCGCTCCAGTCTCTGCACCAGCAGCTGGGCCCGGCAGCTCTGCGGGGACATGGCCCCGTGTAGGCCTGGGAGGGGTCCGAGGACAGGGGCCACAAATGCGACAGGCCCCCGATGCACCCTCGGTGGGTCTGACACGCCCCCGACCCTGAGTGCCGGGGCCAGCGTCCGACCCCCTCCCCGCCCTCCGGTCGGCCGGGCCCTGCAAGGCTTCTCGGCCTCGCTGGGGGGCGGCCCTGGGTGCACGCCCCGCCTGCCCTGACCACCCCGCCCGCAGCTGAGGCCAGCACAGGTCCCACGCGGCCACACGGGCTCTGGTGCCTCCCCGGCTGGGGACGGGAGTCTCGGGTACATGAACCGGTGTGCAGCCCGCGCCTGGGCCGACTGAGCACGGGAGTGGGCGTCCTGCCCCTCAAACCCAGGGCTCTTCCGGCACCTGGTCACTTCCTGTTGGCTGCCTGACTCCGCTCCCGGCCAGTGCTGAGGTTCTCAGGACCGTCCCCGTCTGTGGGACGTGTGTCCCAGGACAGCCTGCGGGGTCGGGCCTTGGAGAGGACCCGTTGGGCCAGAGCAGCCGGAGGCCACAGCAGCCCACAGGCCGGGGAGCTCCCGGCGGGTGTGGCAGGGAAGCCTTTCCGATGACTCACGCCACAGGGAATTCCCTAATGACTGGGAATATTTTTACTTCTGGGCTTGTGCACAGTTCCTGCTGAGGGCCCAGCGCGCTCCTGATAAGGCTGAACACAAAGGCCCATTCAGGCCGTTTTCCTTCCCAGCGCCGCTGTGCTGTACGGCCGCCAGGCCCCGCCAGGCCCCACCAGGCCCTGCAGGAGCAGCCCGGCGCACTGTGACGGGGAGCCAGGCCTGACGGTTTGCTCAGAGTTCGAGGTTCGGTCTCGGACTGGCCTTGGTCCCGTCCCCTGAACAGTGACCGCGTGTAAACAGACGCTGGCCTTTCAGAGAGCTCTGGGTGGACACAGGAGCACCAGGGGCCTTCCCCTTGGATCGGCCACAGGCAGGAAGAGCTCAGGAAACAGGCCAGAGCCCGAGGGTTCTGCACGCCCTGGCAGGTGGGAGGCGCACTGCGGGGGGCTCGGAAGGCTCGCGCGCTTTGGGGGTTCCAAGAGCCCAGCCTGCGTGCGGAGGTGTCGGTCTGTGACTTGAAGGACCTGACTGTCAGAGGCCCGGTGGAGCGGGGCCGGCCAGCTGGAGACGCGGGGCACAGGGCCCGGCGGGAGCTGCTCTGTCGGGTGCCTGGTGCTCTGATGGCCGACCGTGCGTTCAGTTTCCGTCATTTCTTCCCGGAGAGGATGTGGGCACGGGTCCCGGGGCCGAGGTCCGTGTCTTGTTGAGAGGGTCATGTGCGCGGGCCCGGTGTCCCCTGAGGCTGGCGTGGCATCCGTGGCTCACACTTCCTCTCCGTGTCCACCTCCGTCCCACCCGCAGTCACTGTGAGGGCGGAAAAGGGGTTTGTCTGAGGCGCTGATGAGTTAGGATTCACAGCACATTTCTTCTTTGCAAACAGCGTAGGAACGAACGCTTGTGGAGGAGCCGAGTGTGAAACAGAAGCGGCCTCCGTGGGGCTGGTGTCTGTAGCTCAGCTCACAGAGCCGTCCCCGAGCAGGTGCCTGCCGACCGGGCTTCCGAACACCGGGTCCGGTTTGCGGAGGGTCCTGATAATTTGGAGGCTCGACCTGCCTCCCTGGGGCCCAGCCCAGGAACAAACCCCTTCCACAGGCTCCTTTGAGATACTTTTTAAAAAACATGCACATTGCCCTGGCCGGTTTGGCTCAGTGGTTGGAGCATCGGCCTGCGGTCCGGAGAGACCCGGGTTCGGTTCCCGCTAAGGGCACGTACCTCGGTTGCAGTTTGTCCCCGGCCCTGGTTGGTCGTGCGGGTGGCAGCCACTCGATGTGTCCCTTCACGTCGATGTTTCTCCCTCTCTCTCTTCCTCTCTCTCCCTCCCTCTCTATCTGAACAAAAAATGGAAAAATGTCCTCGGTTGAGGATTAAAAAAAAAAAAAAACATGCACATGGCCGCTGAGGTTAAACAGACTTGACATGTCTGTGTCCTGACATGACGAGTGGTCAGCAGAGAGCGGACCTTCTCTCTTACTCCTTGGACTGGCTCCTGGGCCCTGCTCGTTAATGACTCTGTCCCCCAAAAGGCACAGAGGACTTTGCCAGCTGAGGTCACTGTGAACCCTGGGGGCGGGGGTTGGCGCGTGGCAGCCAGCGCCCAGCCTGGCTCCTGGTCTGAGGACAGGGTGCTTCTCCCTCGGGCCCCTGGTTCCCCTGGGGTCACCCTTGGACATGGGCATGTGGAAACCCTTCCCTGACGGGTGTGGGGTGATATTGGTAGAGGGTGATTTCTGGGGGTGCCTCCACCCTGCAGCAAGGCTGTACCCACAGAGCCAGGTCTTTGGAGTCCATGTTTGAGTGTGAGTCTCCCGGGTCTCCCCCAGGTCTGCTCCCCCTGTCCGTCACCCAGCATGACTTTCTGCACATGTCGGCGAGCAGCCAGCGTGGCTGAGCGGGCGGGGGCGGGGCCTGGACCTTTCGTGTGTTTGCAGGGCACACGCTCGGCCAGGCACCAGAGTGACCGACTTCTCGCGCCCCTTTCTTCCAGACGGCCACCACATCTGGGAGATGGAGGCGAAAACAGACCGGGACCTGTGCAAGCCGGTGAGTGTCGCTCAGGTGTGTGCCCAGTGAGTGTGCCCAGTGAGTGTGGCTCAGGTGTGCACACGGGCCGCGTGCCCGGTGAGTGTGGCTCAGGTGTGCACACAGCTGCGTTCCCAGTGAGTGTGGCTCAGGTGTGCACACGGGCCGCGTGCCCGGTGAGTGTGGCTCAGGTGTGCACACGGGCCGCGTGCCCGGTGAGTGTCGCTCAGGTGTGCACACGGGCCACGTGCCCGGTGAGTGTGGCTCAGGTGTGCACACGGGCCACGTGCCCGGTGAGTGTCGCTCAGGTGTGCGCACGGCTGCGTGCCCGGTGAGTGTGGCTCAGGTGTGCACACGGGCCACGTGCCCGGTGAGTGTCGCTCAGGTGTGCACACGGGCCACGTGCCCGGTGAGTGTCGCTCAGGTGTGCGCACGGCTGCGTGCCCGGTGAGTGTGGCTCAGGTGTGCACACGGGCCGCGTGCCCGGTGAGTGTGGCTCAGGTGTGTGCACGGGCCGCGTGCCCGGTGAGTGTGGCTCAGGTGTGCGCACGGCTGCGTGCCCGGTGAGTGTGGCTCAGGTGTGCGCACGGGCCGCGTGCCCGGTGAGTGTGGCTCAGGTATGCGCACGGGCCGCGTGCCCGGTGAGTGTGGCTCAGGTGTGCGCACGGGCCGCGTGCCCGGTGAGTGTGGCTCAGGTGTGCGCATGGCTGCGTTCCCCAGGATCACAGGCAGAGGGGCTCCTGACAGGCACGCAGCCGTTGTTAACAGGAGACGGCTGGCAGACGTGAGGGAGAGAGCAGGAGGGATAGAAATGATCGTGACACACGTCCTGGAGCCAGTGCCCTTAGGAGGCCGGCGAGACGAGACCAGGGCTGCGCGCAGGACGGGCCCCTGCGGGCTGGAGGCCTCGCCTGCGCTTTGTGACAGCCACACGCCAGCACGGGCTCGCGTCCTGCCGGTGGCTTCTCTGGCCCCTGCTGCATTGTCCCAGGCCCCACACTGTCCCCCCGCAAGGCCGCTGCTCTGAGCCTCTGAGTGGGCCCGCACCTGCCCGGGCACGCGGGTGGCACGGTTCCCCAGCGTCCTTGGCAGTGATTTCTTACACGTCCTCCTTGGAGAACACCCACCACGTAGCGCACTCTTGTTTGAACGTGAAGCAAAAGGGGCCATGTCTCCCGGGCTGGCTGATTCCCTGTGCCGACGAGCTGGTGGATGGGAGTCTGGGGGGCTGGGGGCCCCCTGCCCCGTGTGTGGGGACCCCCAGCTGGCTCTCAGGACCACACCTACACTCAGCCCTCACAGCTCGCTTGGTGCCTGAGAAATGACGAGTGTTCTCTGGTCACTCACGGAGATGTTTGGAATCGTGGTGCCGTCCCAGCTGCGGTGGTGACGTGGTCTGGTGTGTCTTCCTCCGCCCCTTCCTTGAGATCTGTGTCTTCATGTTTGAGGTTCGCTCCCTGCAGACGGCAGGAGCTGGTCTTGATCCCTGGGTGGTGCCTTGTTTACGGGGTGTTAGGACCGTGGTGTTCAAGTTCAAGGTGACGAGGACTCGTGCCCACAAGTCCGTTTCCCGCTCGGTCTCGGGAAAACTGCAGGATTGAGGCTGAGGTGAGCCCCCGGGGCTGGCAAGAGGTCTGTGGGGGACACTCCCTCCCCCAGTCTCTGGAGCACAGTCGCTGAGGGCAGCGTGGACGGTCCTTCTGAAAGTGCAGGAGACAGGACATAACCGTCAGATCAGTGCTTACGTTGGGCTCCCTGTGGGCCCTGCACGGTCGATCCGTGTGCGCAGGCACCTGGGCCGTGGGCTGGCTGAAGCGATCTGGGTACCACTCTCTGTGCGTGGCGGTGGGACCCCACGTCACGACGGAGCCTCACAGCTGCCGTGGGGGAAGCTCTGGGATGGTGCTGGGGCTGCTTCCCGTGTTTCTGCCTGGAAGAAGCATCGTCCCCCTGTCCCTTAGCTTCCTCTTCCACACTCCCCTCCACTTACTGAAGCCCCCCGGGGGGGTCAGCGAGAGAAACCCCTCCCTGGCCCCGGGTGGACCTGTGTCAGGGGTGTGCTGGCCAGGAACTCACACGCACGCCCCCTGGCTGACTCCTCGTACCCTCGCTTCCCAGGAGCTCGGGGACCTGCTGCAGCCCCAGGCAGTTCAGCTTCCAGACAGGGGACCCCGGCCCGACCGCCGTGAGCACAGGGCCCGTAGTCAGACGCCTGCCGACGGCCCGTCTGCCTCACAGGGCACATCTCCCCGCGTCTCCTCTGCTCCTCCACTGGCCACGCCGCGTGGCCCTCACTCCGGGCTCCCTGGGCTCCCCGGGCTGGCTGTCGCTGCTGCCCCCACACCCCCTGCAGAAACCCTGTGTCTTGTATGAATCGTTCCCGCCACGTTTGCACGTTCAGGTCTCTTGCCCTTGAGTTTTCTGTTTCACTGTGAAGGTTGCATGTTTCAGAGGAAGATTGACAGCTAGTTGTGTGTTTCAAGAGAAACATACACGTCAGGATACACTGTCTCACAGTTCCCTTCTCATCTCTCCAGGGAGGTTTGCCATCACATTTTTTCCTAATTATAAAGAGAACGTCAGGTGCCCTGTGGTGATGGGTGTGGGTGTGTGTCTACACCTTCGCACATGCACGTGTACATTGTACATTTTTAAACAAAGCGGGTTGTGCTGTGTGTAGTTTACGTACTATCACGAGCAGGTCAGAGCGGATGTTCCCACAGCAGGTCACAGGACGTGAGTGTCAGCCATCCGCCCGTCCCCTGGCTGCGTGCTGTCCCTCGCCTGCCCCTGCTGGGTGTTGGGTGCTCGTGCCCGTGGGGAGAGCTTTCTGCCAGAGTTGTCGGGAGGGTGGAGCCGTCCTCCTGCGCCCACATCAAAGCCCACACGGCCCTCCGGTCTCAGAATCTGCAGAAGCCGACCCGCCAAGTCGAGGGGGCTCCCAGGGTGCATGGCTCCCCCCCACGTCCCCGGGGTCAAGGCCTCGGACCTCTCATTTCTAGTCTCAGCCCAGGGAAGATCTCTTCCTCCGTGGAGCTGAGACTTCTCTGCCCGTCGACTTCCTGGCAGCCGGCCGTGTGCCTGGCGGCCTTCCTGCCGTGTCTCCTTACGTCCGGCCGCGTGCTCGGGAAACAACCCACGAGCAGCGTCTTTCTCTTTCTCTTGCTGTGCAGATGGGAAGCTGAGGCTCAGGAGTGTCAGGGCCAGGGTGGACCCCAGCCCTGGGCGACCCGAGCCAGCTGCCAGCCCGCAGGGAGTCAGTGAGGGCACAGCTCCCTCCTGACGTCACCCCTTGGCCCCTTGGGCTTCGAGGTTGTTTGTGGTGAAGGGACGACAGGCCGAGGCAGAGGGGACGTGTGCTGAAGGACACGGAGTCGTGGCCCGAGGGCCCGGGGCGGGGCTGCCTCTGCGCTCAGCAGACCTCGGGGACCCCGACTCGTTCCCTGTGAAAGGAGGCGGCCTGGCCCCGAGCTCCCTCAGGTTTCTGGTTGGACGTTCTTGCGGTTTCACCACAAACACGAGTCCATCGATTTTGCTGTTAATCTGGGGAATGAGCTACAGCTACAGTTACTGCAACAAAGTTGCACAATGGCGGTTTCTTGTACCTTTTCCCTACTTGTAACCGAGATCAGACACGAAAGGGTGGAGCTCGTCGGTATGAAATGTGCCCCCAGCCCCCGAAATCCGGGGCAGTTCCCTGCCTCCTCCGACTGGCGGGGGCCACAGCAGCCGGGTGCGGCGTAGGGGTGCGGCGTAGGGGCGCGGCCCACCCCTTCCCCAGGCTGCCCCACTGAAACTTGCTTTTATCCCCGTACCTGAAAGAACATGGTGTTGTGAAACTTGCTGGTTTTTGTTTTAAAACGTGGGAAGGTAACCGCTCCCACCTGACCTGCCCTGTTCCATCCCAGGCTCCCCCTCCTGACTCTACCAAGCGCCCAGCTCTCCGTACCCTTCCATTGACGAGTCTGGGACCGTGTGGCGGGCTTTGGCCATTGTCCTCACAGACCCTGTCCCCAGAGACGTGTCTCCCGGAAGCACCTGCCCGGGGTCTTCACTGCCGGGGCCCGGCTCCGTCCACGAGACAGTGCACAGAAGGCTTGCTTTATTCTCAAAGGTCACGGCCCTTTGCTGTGCGGCAGAGAGAAGCCTTTGGGGTCAGCTGCCCCGTGGCAGGTCCACTCTCAGTATTTGCGGTGGCTTCTCTCCCGCCCTGTGTCCGTGGCCACTTAGGTGAAGCCCCAGCCCCTCCCGCACCATCTAAGACCACCTCTTGGCCCTGGGGTGCAGGACGGCAGGGACCCTCTTCCCCCCAGCCCGCCGTGTGCCCGCTCACAGGCCGATCCTCCGCCGGAGGCCCCTTCTGACACAGACAGGTGGGGAGCTGTTCCGAGTGAGGCCTCCTCAGCTGTGAGGTGCTAACCCCTCCTGTCTGACCTCTCCCACTAGAACTCGCTGGTGGTCGAGATACCGCCGTTCCGCAACCAGCGCATCACCAGCCCCGTCCAGGTCAGCTTCTACGTCTGCAACGGGAAGAGGAAGAGAAGCCAGTGTCAGCCCTTCACCTACCTGCCTGCCAACGGTAACGCTCTCTTTCTAACCTTACGCGCTGCCAGCGAGCCGGTGGGGAGCCTCTTCTGAGACGCTCGCGCGCACAACACGGTCACGTCGTATCTTTAAGCTGTTACTTTCCTGTTAGCAAGACCATGTTGCCAATTCCTTTAAAAATAATAATAATAATAAGCGAACCGTCCGGTGCATTTCCCCTCATTGCTGCTGGCGGCAGGGGCGGTGTGTGGGGGTCGTTACTGGTCGTCTTGCAAGTAGGGAACAGCCCGGGGAGGAAAGGTCTCCACTCCTGGACTCGCAGCTGGGGGGCTCGTGTGCGTGTAAACCCTGTAGCTGTGTAAAGTGGGGAGCAAATAGCTGTAACTGTTTTGCAGGTGCCTTTGGAAATAAACCCTTGCTATTAACCCTGAAGGCTGCTGCCTGATGTGGTCATTAAGTAACACTGACCTTTCTGTCCTGGTGCTGAGAGCCCACAGGACATTGTTCCTTGAATAATTGCATCGTCCTGTGACCACGAGGCTCAGGCCACGTCCCTCTCACTCGGCCACAGAGTCTTCTCATTCAGAGCGTCCGTCTGCACATGTTCAGGATGGCTTCTTATCACTTAAAAAAAAATCAGTTTTCTTGTCAACGTTTTAGGTTATTTTCCTAAAGACGTGTGTGTCCCCAGCCCCTGCGCTAGTAGAAGTGAGCGGGTGTGCACGGAGGACGGCGAGCTTGGCCTGGGTGTCCTGGTTCCGCGGAGCTCGGCTGTGCAGTCTCCTTGTCCCGCAGACTTTTCTCTAAACAACCGTAGTGGGGACAGGAAGCACACCCAGAGCTCACGCAAGAGCCGCCGTGTTCTTACCTTAGTGAAATGAAGACTTTTTTGAAGGTTTCCGTTTTCTGTAAATGCAAAGTGTCGTTCACAATAGACCGGAGCGTGGGCAGCTGTAGGATGTCAGTGTCGCTGTTAAACGGTGGAATGAACTGTTCTCGAGGCAGATACGAGCCTTCGAAGGTTGGAAACAGAAGGTTTGGCTGTGAAGCCGCGTGCCCAGAGCGTGCATGCGGTGCGGGGCGGTCAGCAGCCCGGGGGGCAGGGCCAGGGTGGGTTGTTCCCACGTTCTGCGGTCTGTCAGGCATCTGTGATCTGTATGCACGTACATCATGATCCTGTTCATTCTGGAATCAGGCGCAATGTCTCCTAAAAGAAAATATTTAGTCTTTTTTTGAAAATGTAATGATTATGTCCTAATTAAACTTCGACCATGGTTACCTGAATATTGAATGTTTTAAAGAAAACCTAGGCCTGATAAAGAAACATTTCTCTGTAAAACAATTTGAAAATAGCCCTCTGGTCCCTGATACAAGTTCCCCAGCCCAAGCGCTGCACAGTCACTGTGTCCAAGTGGAAAGAGCCTGTGCATGGCGTGTACACCCCCTCACAGGCGGGGACCGAGGCCCCCAAGGATGCACCTGAGATCACAGGGTGCTGTAGGGCTGTCCACCGGGCATCCTGTGTCACCCGCCTGCAGCAGTCCTGGGCCACTGCCCCGGAGCCAGAGCTCCCTCTGCCCCAGCAGCCACAGCCCCGTGCTCTGTGTCTGTCCAGGTGCAACATCACCACGCTCTCCATCTCCCCCAGGTCCTCCTTCACCACGCTCTCCATCTCCCCCAGGTCCTCCTTCAACATGCTCTGCATCTCCCCCAGGTCCTCCTTCAACACGCTCTCCATCTGCCCCAGGTCCTCCATCACCACGCTCTGCATCTCCCCCAGATCCTCCATCACCACGCTCTCCATCTCCCGCAGGTCCTCCTTCAACACGCTCTGCATCTCCCCCAGATCCTCCATCACCACGCTCTCCATCTCCCCCAGGTCCGTATTTTTGGTGACATCTCACCTGGTGGTCCCCTCTCCTTGTAGCTGGCACCTCAGCTCTATCCACAGAGCCTTCCCCACACTCTGCCTTGTTTGTCCAGCTAGTGCAGACCCATCGGCCCACGAAGGCCTGGACTTCCCAAACCTTTCTGTCGGTGGGGGCCCTGTGTTCATCCGCCCTCATCTTTCATCACTTGTGTCTGAATTTGGTCGTGTCCATGACGCTGGAGGTGCCCACGCTTCCCTGGGAGTTCCCCAGCCGTCCCTGCCTTCCTGGGGTGGGTTTGCCCAGCCCTGTGGGGTTCTGACCGCTCGACACACTAGCCTGTGAGCTCCCTGAGAGCAGGGACCCCCGCCTGCACCTGACCCCGAGCCCGACTTGTGCAGCTGTCCTCATGTGGTTTTGAAGATAAATAAATGTACGATGATCAACCAGAGCTCAAGCTGCAGCTTCGGTTTGTTTTCCTCGCCGTGCATGGCCCTCCTCAGCCTGGGACCCGAGCTACTCTCCGCCAAGAGGTGAGAGCGGGCGCAGGGCCCGGGGCCAGCCCCTGCGTGCTGGAGGTCCACCCCGAGCGTCTGCACCCAACTGCATTAGGCCAGTGCCCGTCCCTCAGACCAGGCTGCCACCATGAGCTCCTAGGACAACTGCCCTGTGGACAGGCTCTGCGGGTAGGAGTGGGCATCCCGTTCGTCAGGGACGTTCACCTGATTTCAAGGTTCCTTGGTTATGAGGTCACAGCGTCCCCTTCAGGCTCGGGGGCCTGTCCACGTAACGTGGCAGCAGCCTGCCTAGTGGTGGCTGTGCTCGTGGGAATGGGCGGACTCTCTTCAAGCCCGTGAAACGTGCAAGACCACAGAAATACATCCACTCAAATCCCACCAGAAATTTGTTTCCATGTGCAGATGTGTAAGGTCACGTCTCATCTAGGTTTTCCGTCCACCTTGGGCGGAAGCACAGAGATTGTGTACTTGGCTCTAGGACAGGGACCTCGGGACAGGCACCTCTCACAGAACCGCCCACGGCACCTTGGGACCCTCCTCTGTGCCGGACTCTGGTTGTCAGGTGCAGAAGGGGTGGGGGTTGCTCGGCCGAGGGCTGGGAAGGGCCGACACCTTCCCCACCTCTTGTCCCAGCTCCGATGTCACCTTCCGATGACAGATAAACCTGCATACTGACCCCGGGGTGACACCCACCTCGACCCCACCCCTACCCGGGCCGAGTGCAGACTCCCTGGTCCCTCCCTGGGGGCTGAGTGTTCAGTGGGAAAAGTTCCCAGGGGAGTGTGGGGCCCTGCACAGAATCTTGGCAAATAGGAAAACCCCCGCATCCGCGCCCCCCGCCCCCCACCCCCATGGCTTGTGGGTGAGGGTCCTGGAACTTCACCAGGAAAGCCCAGACCCATCTTGGTCGGGTCCCTGTGGCCAGGACTCCCCTCCTGGGGACCTGCTTGTCCTCGCAGACACACACCCAGGGCCGTGGGGTGGTGACCACGCAGCGGTCTGTCCCCAGCAGAACCTCTCGAGACTGTGGGGAGACACAGCTTTGACACCTGGGAATGGCCGCAGGCAGGGACACGGGCCCAGGACGGCCCTGCCTGGTGGGGAGAAGGGTTTGGGGTGACGTCAGTGAGCTGGAAGGACCTCCGCCGAGACGGAGGGGCCCTCAGCTGTCCTGCTCACCATCAGACTCGGCTAAGTCAGGAACCGAGGACAGGGTGGAGCCCCAGGTGAACACACACCTCCACCTCGAGAGGGAGAGAGGACGGCAGATTCTGACCGTGTGTCATTCAGCCCAGAAGTCGGAGGAGAGTGAGCAGGAGGCGAGGACAGAGCCAGCCACACAGGTCACCCCGCAGTGGCCAGCGCAGGGCCCGGGGCAGGCAGGTCCCTGCAGACCCCAGCACCGTGGCTGCTGACGGGGCACCCCACTCTGGCCCCCCAGGGCTCTCAGTCGGACGCTTGCCGCCAGGCAGCTGGAGTGCGCAGCGGGACCGGGACCCCCAGCCTCTCGTCCGCCCGGGGCCTCGCCCCCCCAGCGAGCTCCCCGTCTCCTCCACCAGGTCTTCTCCCCGAGTTCGTCACATTAAAGTTTAACCCCAAAGCAGTTACCATCACAGACTCGGTGACTTACAGACTTCAGATGGCTACTTGGCTTCTGGGAGAGGCGTGGCTGGTGGGACCTCAGCCTTGGGTTCTGCACCCCGGGACCCCGCCTGGGCCCCAGCTCATCCATGCCCCTCATTTTATCGACAAAAGAAATAGGCCTCTGGGAGCTTGAGCCGCTGGCCCCAAACGCAACTGGCCTGCCGTGGAGCATCCAGCGTCTGTCCCCAAGGCCGGTCACTCCCAGACCTGCGGGCCCGTGTGCATCTCCAGAGAGCTGCCTGTGTCCCTCTTGCCAGGAGCAGGAGGTGCGGGGGGCCCAGCTCCGGCCCTCATCACCCAGCACCTGCCGGCTTTCCGATAAAGCAGACCATGCCGACGTTTCTGACCCTCGCTGTCCGTCCTGGGAGCTGAGGGGGGCCGGGGGGGCCGGAGTGGACGCCCCCTCAGGAGCTGCTCCCTGCAGGCCCACGGCTCAGGCGCTCGCCTTGCCGGCCGGTAGCGTCGCCGGTCCAGCCGAGGGAGCGGGTTGGTGTTGGGAGCGGGGCCAGCCCTGGCTGAGCCTGCCCAGGCTTTGATCCCCCTCCTTAAAGGCTCACAGAACAAAGACGCTATTCTCATTAAATGCCCATTTTTACTGACTCTCGTTATTCCAGCCAAAAAGTGAGGGGCCAGTGTCTTAATCTCTCTCTCTCCACGTTTCCAGCCTGTCGTGGTGGAAGTGTCATGGGTACCCGGTGACTCCCGGGGGTGCCCCCACGCCAGGCCCCGCGGAGCGCAGGCGGCCGGGATGGGGCTGGCTGTGCTGGTCAGGGTGTGGCGGGACCTGGGGTGAGGCAGGTCAGGCCTGTAAAGCGTGTGTCTGGTCCGCATGTCGCTGACCTCCCGTCCGGCCAGGCCGGCGCCAGGGAGTCCCCATGTGTTAGAAGATGGAAGCCTGGGGCACATACTCGAGGGGCTCCCCTGGGCCGAGTGGTCTGCGTCGTGACCCCAGCCCTCTGACCCGGCGTTCCAGACCCCAGGAGCTCCTGGGGAGAGCAGAGGGCTGGACGCTGGGACGGGCTGAGCCAGAGCGGACGGCCTGGGAGAGGGGTCAGGAGGCCTGTCCCCACAGAGGGGGCTGTGAGGGGCCAGGGACCCGGGGCTCCGCACCCAGGCTCCGTCCAGAACCCAGCGGGCATGGGAGGATGGTCTGGCTTAGAAACTTGGGGGCCCTGGGCACCAAAAGCAAAGGGACGTGTGAGTCAGAAGTGAGGCTGGACCCCCAGAAGTCAGCTCGGACTTGAACCGCCGTCTGCATGCTGGGCACCTGTCCCCTGAAACCTCCAGAGGGGGCACATCACGGCCGCAGGAGACCACTCCCTGGGCCTCGGACCAGAACCACAGCCCTCGGCGCACAGCTGTTTGAGACCAGCCGCGGGGCGTGAACCATGTTCCTTCCCACGAAGTCTCGGCAATTATCGGGTGAAACCTGATCGATGTATTTTTTGGCTTGTGGGGTCGGTTCTGACCGTAGTCGGCCAGCAGCCTAACTGGGTAACAGGCCCCACGTCACGGGACTCAGAAGACATTGGCGGGTGCCCACCTGGAACATGAAGCTGGCACCCAGCCGGGTGCGCCCACGGCCCGGCAGCCTGGGTCCTGAGCCCCCGACGCCCGGCAGTCCCTGCCGCCCGGGACCCGAGAGCGGCCGGCGGCCGGAGCCAGCGGCTCCCTTCCCTTCCTCGTCCCTGAATAAGTCGCCCTGGAGCTGCGTTCTTGTGTTTGGTGTCGATGGTGGAACTCGGGGTGTCTGCAGTAGACAGGAGGCTGGCTGCCCTCTGTGTCCTGGGGTTTAGAACAAAAGTCTGTCCCGCTGAGGAAGGGACCTGGGAAAGCAGTTCAGGCTGAAACAGCCGAGGTCGCTAAGACTTGGGGTACAGTGAGACGGGTCTGGTTGGAGGGCGAACCCCAGCCTGCGTCCAGCGCCTCCCACAGTCGGTCGTTAGCGTGTGTCCTGTCTCCCAGTCCTGTTCCTACCTGGTGAGCAGACGTTGCTGCAGGTGAACAGGGAGTCTGATGGGACCAGGCCGCACCCCGAACCCCCTGCCCCGTCGTGGGCAGAG